CAAGATAGCTTCCTGAAATGTGGGTAGGAAAATGATCAGAAAAAGAAGGAAGTCAAAGAGAAAAGTACCTGGGTTGAGCTGAAGCGCCAGCCTGCTCCACCCAGAGAAGTGCACTTTGTGAGTACCAATGGGAAGGAGCCTGAGCTGCTGAAACCCCTTCCCTATGGATTCACAGCATCATAAATGTAGAAAAATAAAAGACCTCTAGACTGTAAAAATGTTTCTCTTCCTTGAGTAGAAGTAGGTGTTCCCTTCCCTAAAGAAATAAGAAAATTTAAATTGTGTCCTAATTCATTGTGTAATGTCTTTACTATTAATATTAAATTTAATGTTTTCCTTGCTGAAAGATGTGAGGTGGCTTATTGTGCAACAAATTACTCAACTGGTTAGAAAACGGCCAGATATTATTTATAAAATATTTGCACTGGTTTGAAGATAGTCCCTCTAAATCATCATGTAAGAAATAAAATAATTTTTAAAAAATTCTAAGTAGTTCTGGGCAAAGTATATAATTCATGCAATTGCATATAAATCTATGCTGGCAACTGCATCAAACCACAGCTTTTATTTTTAAAGAAGTTTATATTACTCTAAAACAATACAGAGGGTTTCCAAATGATCACTTTTCTTCAAGTCTTACAGATAATTATTTTATCTTAAGGCTTTTCGTGAGTATTAGCAGGATCTTGAAATAAAGTTACCACATTACAAGCACAAAAAAATTTTTTTTCTTTGTCTTTACATATAAAGACAAGAAGGGAATTATGTTTTATATAGACAAGCATAAGAGACACAAAAGCAAGAATGCCACGGAAATCTAAGAACAGAGCCAGAGTGAAAAGCTCAGAATAAACTGTAGAACAGGGTCCCCAATCCCAGCCCCTGGCTGTGGATGGGCACCTGTCCGTGACCTGTTAGGAAATGGGCAGCACAGGAGGTGAGAGGCAGGACGCCTGAGCTCCGTCTCCCGTCAGATCAGTGGCAGCATTAGATTCTCATAGGAATACAAATCCTATTGTGACCTGAGCATGCGAGAGATCCAGGTTGTGCCTTCTCGTTAGAATCTAACGTCTGATGACCTGATGTGAGACAACTTCATCCTGAAACTATCCATTCCCAACCCCCATAGAAAAATTGTCTTCCACAAAACTGATCCTGGTGCCAAAAAGGCTGGGGACCCGCTGCTTTAGAAAGTAGAAGATGCTGAGGGCTTCTTCTTCTTTTCTTTTTTTTTTTTTTTTTTTGAGACGGAGTTTCGCTCTTGTTGCCCAGGCTGGAGTGCAATGGCGTGATCTCGGCTCACCGCAACCTCGGCCTCCAGGGTTCAAGCAATTCTCCTGCCTCAGCCTCCTGAGTAGCTGGGATTACAGGCATGTGACACCATGCCTAGGTAATTTTGTATTTTTAATAGAGACAGGGTTTCCCCATGTTGGTAAGTCTGGTCTCGAACTCCCGACCTCAGGTGATCCTCCCAGTCTCCCACAGTGCTGGGATTACAGACATGAGCCATCTCGCCCGGCCTACTGAGGGCTTCTTTAGTTGTGTTCAGAGAAGAGAATGGAGAAGACATGAACACTGCTTGGGAGTGTCACATTGAATAAAGAGAAACAGAACTACTCAGGTCTCAGTTTAATCTGTCTTCTCTGTTACTGTGGATGTCAATCTGAAATTAAAGAAAATAACTTCAAGAATGTGTAAGACCCCCTATACTCTGCACTACACATGTAATCACATCTGTAGTTTTATGTTTAGTTCTAGGTTTAATATTTTAACGGGACTCAAAAGGATCCTTATGTATCTTGAAGCAAACAGCATTTGTTCATGAACTCATTTTTTCAATAAATACTTCTTGAGCATCAACTATATGCCAGGCCCCATGTGATACGCTAGAAAGTAGACTCTCATTCATTTAACTCAGGCATGCCTGTCAAGTTCCCAGCATTGTAAACAAGACAGTTAAGTTCCTCGCTATTGCAGAGCACACAGATACATTAAAAACTTAAAATACAGTATAAAAATAACTGTCATAAGAGGTGTGTAAAAGCAAAGTAAAGCATTTATGAAGCACAGAGGGCAGAATAATTCATTTCGCTGGAAGATAAAAGGGTCCAAACTGGGCCTTGTTGAATGAGTGACTGTAGGAGGAAGGGATGACGCACGCTGCAGGTGGAAGGAGGGCAGTGCAGTCACTGAGATGCAAAAGTGCAGACTGGCTGCATCAGAAATAAGGAGCACTTTGATCATTTGAGAAGCAATCAAAGAAATAGAATTTTTTAACCTGGAAAATACAAGACTTATGGCTGGGGTATTATTGTTATTCTCAAATATCTGGAAGTCTGTCAAGTGAAAAAGAGGAATTCCATTCTGAAGAGGAAAATCAGAATCAATCCATAGAAATGACAGAGGGGCATATCAGGGCAATGTCAGGAAAAAAACTTGCAATAAGAGTTGTTTCAATGGAATTAGGTGTCTTTTATGGAAGTAACATCAAACTACAGGAAATATTGAAGCAGAGCTCGAACATGTCAGAGGATTAAAGAGGCAACTCCTACGTTGGGTTGAGTGCTGACCTGTACAGTCCAATTTTTTAGGTTATTTGAAAGCTAAGATCAAGTCATAATATTCTAAGAGAGCAAAGTAGAATTTAAGAGAATCTGGGAGAGGGAAGAGACCTTGAACAGTATTGAATCCAATGCTTTCACTTTGCAGATGAGAAACTGAAGCCCTGGAAAGATAAATGGCTAGTTCGAGGTCATCTAGCAAATGAGCTCCATCTGAACTAGAATCCTCTCTTCAGCTTCCTGTGTGGTGATCACTGCACCATATTACACTGCTGCTATGAAATGAATTCCAATATCTCAACCCAGAATTCTCAATGAATGTACAGATATGATAACCAAAACATAATCTTTAATCTTAAAGGAAAAATGGGGAACAAGATGCTCAACTGCTAGAGAATTGCAGGCATACATTTTTTCTGGTTTTTCAAAAATATAGAATTTTATAGTGATTTTCTCAACCCAGGAGAATATAAACCAGATTAATAAATAATGATAAACAGAAGAGGTGATCACAAGGAACCAGCATGGAAGAATAACACCAAAGTAACCTTTATTTTTTAACATGGTAAGGAAATTTGTTCATTCCATCCATTTCTTCCCTCTATCAACAGAGATGTTTAAGTGCCTGTGATAGGTCTCACAATGACCTATGGATTTATCAGAAGATAAAAGACTAAGTCTCTGGTTTCAAGGAGTTCAGAATGATACAATCCAATATGCCTGATGATGCTATAGAGGGTAAGAGAGGATGTTAGGGATATCTGTGCTAGGATTAGGAATTTTGGAGATAAGTAAGAGCCAGGTAAGGATTTTCAAGATGGAGAAAGTAGAATGTAAAGGAATAGCTTATTTGGGAAATTGAAAGTAGTGTAGTGCTGTGCTGTGATTATGATGTATTTGTATTTCAGCAGTTGACAAAAGTCTAAATGATGCATAACTTTTGTGCATAATATAAATATGCAAGGTACATGGATTACTGACTGGCTGAATGGGCCCTCCAAATCAGAAAGAGGATCACATTGATGTAAATGGGAGCAAAGGTTTTAAGTGGTTAAAAATAAAGCAAAAGCATGATTTGAGGAAGAAGTACTTTAACAATGAGAAAATTCACAGGTATGAATCTTTAGTTAACACCACATTCTATGAGACAAAGTGAAGCAAATTAGGATTATAATTAAAGATATTGTAGAACAGATAAAAGCGTTAAGGACAAGATTTCTTCTGACTTTAAGAATCTGTATTTACGCAGATGATAGTTTTACAAAATCAGAGGCCCAGGTGACCAGAAAGTCCACACAACTATAAATATTTTTGAATTGAAGTCTAGGATGTGCCACTTATTACACATTCAATCTTAGGCAACCTCTTTGGGATCCATTTTCCCTGTCTCCAAAGACAGATTAGACTAGATACTCTTTATTAAATTTCCAGTTTTAAAAATAAACTCCACAATACAATTAGCCTTTAAGAATTCAACACTTATTTCATATCCCAAGTTCCTAGACTATTGTAGGTCCTCAACAAATATTTTCCGAATGAATCAGTTACATCTATACAGGCCTCCACTGTATCCTATGAGTTACAATGGACAACAGGGGAAAAACGGAGGGAAAATGGTCTGCCACACTGGGGCCCAGTGAAAATTCATATTTTAAGTTTGATCCCTCTTCTTTCATTGGAGGATATGTATAATCAGCAAAGGAAAATTTCATATGCATTCTTCATAGAAGCTTTATTGACTTTTTGTATTACAAAAGTAATGCATACTCATCATATTATAGAATATAGAGTGAATTAAACTAAAAGCTCCTGCTAATTCTATTACCAAGAAGTTGCCGTTTTTCATATTTTGGTACACAGCCTTTCAGACTTTTCTCTATACATATACATTTTAAAAACATAATATCTTATTTATATGCTGTTTTAAAGCCAGTCTTCTTCTCCCTTTGAAACTATAGTGTGAATTTTTCAAGATGGCATAGTACTCCATTGTATAAATATGCTATTATTCAACAAATTTTCTATGCCTAAACAGATTATTTCCTTTTTTTTCCAATCAAATATGGTAAAAATCTTCTGCAAGTTTTTAAATTTATTAAGATGCTAGGTATAGAATTGCTGGGTGAGAAAATATGAAACCTATTAAGGCTTCTGGATGTGTCTTCCTAAATGACTTCCAGAAAGGCTATGCCAATTTATGTTCCCTCCAGCAAAGTATAATTCCTGTCTCCTTATGTCATCAAACATGAATATTATCAATTTTTAAAATCTGTGCCGATTTGGAAGGCAAAAATGCCAAAGTTGTTTTAATATGCATTTCTTGTCTTGGCTCATATTTGTTTAAGTCCTTTAATAGTAGGTCAACATTATAAATAGGGCTGTACTAGAATGTCTGCCATACAGTCATAAAAAAAAATACACAAAAAATAACTGGACATCTTATACAAGTGAAATCATTTATTTATCTATTTTCATTTGTTCCATTTATTGAGTGGTTTTCTATACTGTGGATAGTTCTGAGTACTGGTGAAATAAAAGCAAAAACACATAGTCCCTGCTCTCAAGGAGCTCACAGTTAAGAAAACAGATATGTAAGTATGCTACTGTAATATGTTATCAGCACTCTAATAAATATACAAGGTTAGTAGTGTCTCCATAATGGGTAAGAAGGAAAGGATGTTTCTTTAAAAACAATCAGAACCAGGATGAGGGGGGAAACCCTCAATGTCTACAGGATGCAGTAGACATCTTGGGTGTTCCAGAGACAATGAAAAGGTGCTGCAACTTCTGGACATAAAACGTTCCAATAAATCCAATCTTACATCATAAAGACTAAGCTTAGCATTAAATTGATACATTGGAAGCTCAAGAAGAACCAAATTTCCCTTATTCAGTTGGTGGTCTGTCATCTTTTTTCCAATTATTTTGTAACATTGGACTAGTCAACATACCATCATATGACCAAATTTAAAACAAATTACTAGTTAAGGGGAAAAATGACTCATTAGTAAGTAAAGTGACAAGCAGTTAGAACAAATGAACCATCCATCCTTCAGGAAGCTTTTTTTTAAAAAAAGATTTTCTGAATGGGTTATCTTGTGGTTTGCTTCTTCCAACAAGGCAGCAACCTTAGAAATAATATCAGCATGAAAAACTCATGACTTAGTCACCTCTGACATAACTTTGGAGTCTCATAGGAGTTTCAAAAAGTTTTTCTTCTGATCATGAGATTCAGTGGCTTCACATATTAACTTTTTTTTTCCTCCGTAAGTGTTAACAGGTTTACTAGCAGATGCAGAAGGTGACATTCCAGTGGCTCCAATATTTTCATTAGCCAATACCATTTATTCTATGTTTAAACAAGTATTTGGAACCCACTACATTCAAAGCATAGCATTGTTTTACTTAGCATTTTACAAACATTTTAAAGTACAATATCAATATGTACATCAATCTTACCTCTACCTCACAGAAGAGGAAAAGGGAGGTGAAGTTATCTTCTCAAGGTCCCATAGTCACTAACAGGCAAAGCAAGGACTCTGAACACAGATTTCCGAACTCCAAATCTAGGGTTCTTTCTAGCCTTCCTTACTGGTCTACCTGTCCTCAGATTTTCCTGCTGCCTAATTAATGTTCTTAAAACACCAAAGTAGCCCCAGGCTTCATCAAGTCTCATCGGCTCTGAAAATCCACCTTGACTGTTTCAGTCCACAGAGCTCACTCTCCTCTGAACTCCTATAGCTTGTTGCTCATATTATTTAACCGGCACTAGCACAGAAAATGCTTAGTGAGATCTCTGTCTTTATGAAATAATTTTAGCGTCTATTTAGAAGACACTGTGCCAGGTTATATGAGACTGCTCCAGTACTACTTAAACTTAAGTTTAATCAGTTCTGCAAATGTTTTTGACAACCTACTATGAGTCAGACACTATGCTGAGAGCTAAAGACATGGTTTCTGCCCTCAAGAATCTTAGTCTAATGGGAGCATGGATATGTAAACGTTTAACAGACATATGTGTACATTTGTTCATTAATTCATTAATTTAGTAAGCAAACTCAATTTGCTGGACATGAAAGGTAAGTAAAACACAGCCCATATCTTTTAAGTAACTTGCAGTCTAGGAACAAAGTGAGATATAAGTTTTTTCATTCATTCATTCAATAAGCATTTATTCAATAAATACCTTATTATGTGGTGGAAACAAGTGAGGAACATCTATGAATAACATGGTCTCTGTGCACAGAGCTGTTTCAAGGATCATAATCTTCAAAGGTAGAAATTAGGAGCCATACTCTGTTATCCTGTGTAATAAGAGAGCATAGCAAAGCCTTGGCCCACGGATATTCATTCATTCATTCATTCATTCATTCGTATATCTACTCCAAGTCTCTCTTGGTAGTTCTTACATATCAATCTTTTTAAGACCAGCTCTAGATAACGAATCTAAGACAGAATTATCATAAAGCTTATAGTTCTGGTGTATTTCCAAAGATACTTGGAATATTTTTCATGTTATTCCAAACACCAACCACTTCAATAGAAATTCAGTTTTCTCACTCTATTACTTTGTTCATATGTTTGATGAGTCAAGGTGTAAATGTGCAAGCAGTGGTTTTTAAAACATGCTATTTAGAGAACAAGGGGTTCCTCTGAGGTTTTTCAGAAATAATACTAGCAGTGGGGAAGAGGAGCTTCCCACTTGAACCGGAGTATTTTAGCTTTCTGTTTTTAATACTGTGCTTCTAGATAAAACTTGTTTTGGAATAGGTTCCTGTTACCTAATTTTAAAAAAATTAATTTAAGAGAATCATTGTAATAAGACATTATAGTATTTTGGCTTTATAATTTTTAATATTTATATTTTTAAAATATAGAGTCATTTCTATGATATTAAACCAATCCTTTTTTTAAAGACATGTTACTGAGCATTTACTACTTGGTACCAAGTGCACTGTAAATTGGTTATTCATTTAGTCATATTTAGCATCCATTTAAGGAACCATTTCACTATACCGTCTACATTAAGAAAGCAAATAATACAAATTAGTGTGCATCATTGACATTAGAGATTAATTTCCTAAGAGATTTGCATTTCTAAATATATCTATGTAGATAGAATAAATAAGACCTGATGTTCAATAGACCATTAGGATGACTATAATTAACATTAATCTATTGCACATTTCAAAATAGCTAAAGAGAATTTGAATGTTCCTAAAGAAAACATAAACATTTAAGGTGATATAAATCCCAATTATCTTGATTTAATTATATGAATATATATTATCACATGTACTCCCCAAATATATTATCAATGAAAAAATTTATCTTGGTAAATTTTTCCATTTGACTCTACTATATATAACACTTATTGAACACAAATCCATCCTGTGAAGTTCAATTGATGCTTTTCTGATAGCAAAGAGTAGCTAATATTTACTGCATGCATTTTATTTCATCCTCAAAATAATCCTATAAGAACTATTATTATCCTCATGTTACAGACAAGGAAATGATAGAACTAATATGTAGAAATAGGGATGCTAAAAGGACCAGGGAGCAAGAGAACCATGTATGGGAAAACTTTCCAGGTGAAAAGTGGGAAAAAAAACTTCATTCCAGAAGGTTCCATTTCCCGTCAAACTTCTCGAAATGATGTAAGCCAGATAGAGAGAACCTCCCATCTTCCACATCTCTCTCTCCTGTTTACTGCAATGACTATAAAAAAAGGCTTGATCTCCCACTCTCTATGGCTGCCAATAACTGCTCTTAAGGAATGGGGGATAAAGCCAGCTAGAAGAAGTGGGAGCAAAGATAGAAGGTTAGAATTGTCTCCATAATCACCTTTAGACATGTTAATAGGAAAAACCTCTCTGTAAGGGTAAGAATGTGAAAATAGGTTTTTTTTCAAAGGTCCCAGTTCCCTGGCCTGGTTTTCTTATTTTCATGTCTCTCATTATTCTTATGTTCAACCACTATAAACTGAAATGTATGATGGGCACTTGGAGGCACCAAAAATAAGAGTCAGGATTTCTATTATTCAAGGGAGAAAGACATTTAAATAGACATAGAACAAGGTATTAAGTGCCGTAAGATGCTACAACAAAGCTTATTTAGGCAGGGACTGTATTTTATTCATCTTTGTAGCCTCACTCATATAATGCCCAGCAAATAATTATTTTTTTGAAAAAATGTTACGTCTAGGCTTTCTTCTGACTGGCTTTAATGTTCATATATGTGGTGGCAGACCTTCTATATCAAATCTGAGTATAATTATAGTAAGCTACACTTGAGTTTCCTTGGACTTTATGTTCAAATGTATATTAATATCAACTGCCAGTCCTAGATGTACTAAAATCGATTAGCCTTATTTTATGCTTTCCCAGCACTAGAAAAAAACATAGTAGATGGTAAGCTTGTCACATAAGAAACAACTGCATTCATTGAGATTGAATGTAGGTACAAGTTCAATATCCCTTATCTGAAATGCTTGGGGCCAGAAGTGTTTTAGATTTTTTTTTTAATCTTTGAATATTTGCATATTCATAATGAGATATCTTGGAGATAGGACCCAAGCCTAAACATGAAATTCATTTGTTTCATATACATGTTTTACACATAGCCTGAAGCTAATTTTACTTTTCTCTTGGGAAGAGAGTTAACTGTTGTGCCATTGCATTTTGACTGTGACCCATCACATGTGGTCAGGTGTGGACTTTTCCACTTGTGGCATCATGTCAACACTCAAAAAGTTTTGGATTTGGAGCATTTTGAATTTCAGATTTTTGAGTTAAGGATGCACAACCTGCACTCTTCAGCTATATTATTCATTTAGAACTCTTCAAAATCTAGAAGTAAGCCTGCCCTCTAGTGCTAAAACTGTCAAATTGAATTGGAATAGCAATTTCCAACTATGAGAAAAAGAAACTAGCACTCTAGATGTTATTCTTAATACAAAAAAACTATTATTTCAAAACAAAAAGCTTCATTTTAAGAATAAAGTGACATTCCCTCCTCAACTCAATTTGCCATTTGCTTATGTATTTGGTAACTATTATCAATCTTGCTTCTTAAATCTTAGTGCTTCTATAACATTATAGAAAATAATGGTTTGTATATGTGTGGTAGAAAATGTTAACATTTTATTTCTACTTGAAAAGTCACAAAAGTTGGCCTTGAATTTAATTGATTACATGTCTACAATTAAGTGCTATCCTCTGGCTACACTTACTCTCTGAGTGGTTTCATCCATGTCCTGACTTAAAATTACAAACTGATGACTTTCAAATATATTTATCTCTAGCCCAGACCTCTACTTTGGACTCCAGGTTCAAATATCTAGCTGCCTACTCTACATTTTCCTTTGGACATCTGATGGACAAGTCTACCATGTATAGCTATATCTGATAACATGTCCAAAAGTAAACTCTCAATCTACCCCCTTAAACCTGCTCCTGAGTCTTTTCCATCTTACAAATATCCACTTCATTCTTCTTCAAGCCAAAAAACCTTGATCATTCTTTTTTTTAAACCCCGCCTCCATTCCATCAATATATCCTTTTGGTGCTACCACCAAAATATATTAGGAATCTGACCACTTATTTCCATTATTCTTAGTCTCAAATTGTACCATTTGTCACCTGGATTTACCGTATTATCCTCCTAATACTACCTGCTTCCGTCCTTGCTTTGATCAGAACACTAAACGCTTGCTAGCTCACTCAGTAAAGTCTACCTCTTGAGAGAAAGGGCCATAATGCCCTACATAATTACCTACAATCAAGCAGATTATTACTCCCAATCTCTCTCAATTTGCTAATTCTCCCTAAAAGAACAAGAATATTGCTATTCTTGTTCACTACAGTCACACTGATCTCTTTGCTGTTTCTTTATACTCTGTACCAGCTCAGGGTCTTAGTGTGTACTATTCCTTCTCCCTGGAATGCTCTCCTTCCAGATATCCACACTGCACAACCATTCACTTCCTCAGGTCTCTGCTCAATGTCACATATCAGTGTACAGTCTACTTATTAGCAATCCTATCCTCACACACTCTCTCAACCTCTTCCTCAACTTACTTTCCCCATATAACCTTGTCACCATATGGTAAACTATTTTACTAACCAATTAAAATAAAAATCCCATAAGGGTCAGAAATAACTGTTTTGTGCCCTGCAATACACTCAGGCCTAGAATACTTATTGGCATATAGTAGAGGTTTGAGATTTGTTAAATTAATGGTTTAGTCAGAGGAGAATATTAATTTTGTTTGATTGTAAAAAAATGATAGGATACCACAGGAAGTCCTAGCTATTTCTTTTTATATAAGATAGTAAATTTGTTAGAAAAAAATAAACTATCATAACTAACCACTTTTTGTTCAAGTACCAAAATACATTCATTTAACACCTACTAAGTGTTGTGGATAGGGGGCCCCATTTGAACTTCATAACAATACTGGTAGGTATCATTATTATCAGCACTTTACAGAAGAAACTGAAGATGACATAGGTTAAGTGGTTTGTTTAAAAGTGACATTAACAGGTATGTCACAAAGAGAAAATCAAACTCAGGTTTCTCAGATAATATTTCTATGAACTCTCTCTCAATATGCATAGTTTCAGGGAGTAAATCTCAAATAGGTAAGATTTCTACATTTGTAGATAAAAGTAACTGTGTATGAACTTACTGTAAGCCATTTCATTCACATGATAGAACAGAAAAGATGAAGCATCTATATAAACTAACTTCACTTAATACTCACAAATTAATTCTGCTAAGTTTGATAAGTTAGTTTAAGTCTCAACAAGTTGCTCAAATAGTCTTAGTTTTTCCTCTTTGATGGTTCAAAGGCAATTATTAACAACAGCAAATTTTCTTTTGACCTTCAAAATATGTGAGGAGCTTTTATCTGTGATCTGTTTTCTACATGAAAAAGTTAATTTGCTGGGTGCAGTGGCTCATACCTGTAATCCCAGCACTTTGGGAGTCCAAGGCATGTGGGATCACTTGAGGTCAGGAGTTTGAGACCAGCCTGGCCAACATGGTGAAACCGTCTCTATTTAAAAAAAAAAAAAAAAAAAAAAAAAGCTAGGCGTGGCAGCAGGCATCTGTAATCTCAGCTACTTGGGAGGCTGAGGCACAAGAATCACTTGAACCTGGGAAGTGGAGGTTGCAGTGAGCCGAGATCACACCACTGCACTCCATCCTGGGAGACAGAGTGAGACTCTGTCTCCAAAAAAAGAAAGAAGAAAAAAGTTAATTATGGCTAATATTCACACAGACCATAGTGTTTTGGGAATATCTGGCTCTATATATATTCACTTCAAGTATTTATTAGCTTTTTAAAACCAAAAACCAATTAAAATTTTTAAAACCAAACCCATTAAATTTGTGGAAAAAATTCATTGGCACCTTAAAGCTCAGAAAGCCAAAAAAAAAAAAAAGAAAAAGAAAAACCCAGAAGGATAAAACCTCTACAAAATGATACAATTTGGGAGAAAGTTAAGACATTTTTAATAAAATGTTTGCTATTAACTCCCATTTATGCACCACAGATCCATAAAATAAATACAACAATGCTCCAATAAAATTGGCATTATAAGATTCAATTATTATGTTAAAGTCTAACCTTACTATAGTGTTACTAGATGTATTTTAAGAAATATTTAACACATGGTAAATCAGAAGCCATGTAAAAATGAGCCATATTATACGAAGTTCTAATACATTACATAGCATACATAGCAAAATGTCTCATTGATCCTAAAAAGAAAATGGTCACACCAATAACAACTGGTCAGGAAAAGGGGCAAAGAGAACACTATCTCTATTAATATAATGTAAAAGATTGTAAGGTGGATACAGCAAAGGTATGATCAATCAGTTTTAAGACTGCTGTTTGTAAAAAGGTAAATAAATTGTGCTTTAAAAGATCTCAAGATTTGCTTCAGTGAAGTAAAAGTTCACTCTAAAAATCTCTATAATTAAATTAATTACAATTTATCCAAGGTCTGGGGCAGAAATTCATTATTCCACAGTCTGTAATTTTATCATAAAAGTTAGACTGTTTTTTGGCCTTCCACTGTACTAATCATACATCTATTAACAAAAAAGAACAAACCTTAATCTGTTTACCTGGTTCTTACCAAATATTCATAAAGTAATAAAACTACATTCATTAAAAAATGATATAATCCGGAATACTTCATTCAGACTAGCCTTTCCTATTGAGGAACAGTTAATTTCATTAACTCTTAATTTCATTGTTAATTTCATTCTTAATTTCATTAATACTCAACATTAAGAGTTAATGAAATTGTTATTTCTCTTTCTCCTTAAAATGATCCCTTCTTTAAAATGTTTCCCTGTGATGATTTCTCATATCACTGAAAAAGTGATACTTCCTCAAGAAGGAAGAATTCCTCCTTAGGGGTAAGAATTCTTCTTTAGGAATAAGTAAGACTTTTGGGTTTTTTTTTTGTGTGTGTGTGTGTGCATGTGTGTGTGTGTGTGTGTGTGTGTGTGTTTTGCCTTTTGCTTTAACAAAGGCGGGCATTGAGTTTTTTTTGTTGTTGTTGTTAAAATGCCCTCAATTTATTTGATGCCTTCGACATTTAAAACATGAAGCTGTAGGAGCCTTGAAAGCCAGAACAAAGTTTTATCAGATGATGAATTATTATCACAAGTTGTAAGTATACTTTTTTAAGAGGGCAGAACAACAACACCTGGCATTTTTACCAATTTCTCCTCAAACTGAACATATATTTCAATAAATCCTTTCATAATTTCACATTAGCAAGTAGGCAGACAGGACATGTTTTGTTGAAGAAATACTTCAGTGAAATATTTCATTAGTTATATATAGTGTGTATATATATTATATATGTATATATATATATATAACATGTTTTGTTGAAGAAATACTTCAGTGAAATATTTCATTATAGTGTGTGTACAT